TTAAATAAAAATAGAAATTTTATCAAGTTATAAAACATTGGCCATTTATACTCCTATTACAGCCTAAGAATGTTAAATAAAAGGAGCTGAAATCTAATAAAAAATTGGATGGAATTTAATATAATTATTAATTTAAAAGGGTGCCAAAGATCAATAAATATTTATTAAATCATAATATATATAAATTAAATGAATTACAAGAAAGAAACTCTAAAAAAATTATTATGTTTTACACCAAGAAACTTTTTAAATGATTTTCCATAACACCTTGTTACAAAATAATAACCTCCTTTAGAAAGAGACTTTTCTAAAAATAAATTAGAGTGATATCAATTTTAGTAACTGAAAATGCATTGATTGTTATTTGAGCTCTGAGTCTAAATAATACCCTTTTATTCTTCCCTAGTGTTAAAATCTGTTTAATCAAAGAGTTTTTAAGGATAAATAAGATTCTTTTTCCCTTAAAGTACTAAAAAATTAATATTGCTAAAGAATCGCCCATATTGAAAACTAATGAGTCGATATTCATTTTGAATTTTAAATCCTATGAAATTGGTACTATTTAGACAAATTCAATGCTTAGCTATTAACAAACTCAAGAACCCTTATTATTTATCGAAATGGATATTTTGTATTGATAAATCATTCTCAATCCAAATTTATGATAAGTTATAAATCAAGAGATAGATTTAAGTCTGTTTGTTAAAGTTAAAGATCTTCTTAAAGATTTAAGCTTATAGAATTTAAGCCATTTTCGTGACGATTGTAATTCTTATTAAATTTAGTTATAATTATATTCTAAGTAGAATTAAATAATGAGGAAAAAACTTAGCACTGTTTTATTTCTGTTTTATCACTAATAGATAAAATAATTTATTCGAATAAATATCTAAGGACCTATATTTTTATTATGTAACATTTGGATGATAGTAAGTTGATATTTTTATTAATTTTTTTTTAAAACAACTTATTAAAATTAAAATAGCTATCTGATTAACTCTACCTTGTAAAATAAGAATCTCAATATAAAATCAACCTTGAAAAAATGAAGTATAGATATTGTAATTACAATCTATGTATTTACGATCTTTGGGACTGTAAGTACGAGGAAGAAAAACATGTAAGAGATTATCAAAATTTTGTTTAAGTTGATCTAATAAATTGTGCTTATTGCTATTCTGCTGATTAGATATAGTTTTGCTTAATTTTGTTTTCAAGAAACTAGAAAAGGAATGTTATTTAAAAAAAAATATGGGAAAAAGTGATAATTAAGCTTGCCAATAAAAAATTATATCTTTAGAACAAAATAATTTATAATAGATAGAGTTTAAACCAAATAAATAAAATAAAAAAGAATTGTTTGACAAATAGTATTTTAGGAAGTATATCATTTGCTTTGAATTATTTTAAATCATAAATAAAGCCAAAAATCGTCAAATTAAAGTGCCCCAGCCCTCAATTTTCCACTCTGTTTGTATTATTAATTTGCTAAAATAATAAAATAATTGTTCATTATGCAAGACAAAATATACCGTTGATTTATTAGTTATAAACAGCTAATAATTATGATTTTTTAAATTATTATTTCTAATTAATTAATATTTCTTTATGCTGAACCAAAAGTTGATAGAAAAAATTAAACATAAACTAAACTATTACATTTGAATATAAAACCTTATTTATTCATTAAAATAAATATAATATTGGTAATTTTTCTTTTTGACTTAAATTGAAACTAAAATTACAGTTTGATCATTGAAGAATGATAGGATGTTTATGAATTTAAAAATGAAGGCTGTAACAATTATAGATATCAATATCAATAGGAATGCTTAGGTTAAATTATTCAAGACATTGTGTATCTAAATTTATGATTGAAAAAAGATATAGTTTTCTTTATGCTAGTTGCATAATTTAATTATGAATGAGATTCAAATCTTAATAATTTCAACAAAGATTTCTACTTTGCTTTTGAACTAGAATACAATTTATATCAACAAAAATGTGGAGTTTAAATGTGGTAGAGATATGATGGATATTATTGTGAAACCCTCTTATCTTTACAAATTAAATATTTAATGCAATAATTTTTCGTGTTTTTGGTTTACTTTTTTTACCTTTGTTAATGTTATATAAAAAATTTAACCAAAGTCAGGTTAAATATCAATTTTCTCAATTAATTAGATTTAATAATAAGACCAAATCGAATATGGAATCTTAAGAGAAGCATATAATATAAATCACTCAACCTAATCAAAAAACCTCATAATTTACTAAACAAATATATAAAGAGGCTATATGGTGAATTATATGGCAAATTTAATCTTGATTTGATAACCTGCTATCATAAGTTTGAGAACATTGCAATTTAATAGATATTTAATAAAAAACACACATGATATATTCGTTTATTTTTATATATATTAAAATAATTAAGTGTCATAAATATTATTAGGTAAAGTTTTTTAATTACCCTTTTATTTTGAAACTTAATAAAGAAAGGAAAACTGTGTAATGATTTATTTTCTATTAAAATAAAATGACTGTTTGTTAATTATAAATCTTACCTTATTTTTGTTTTATTTTAATTTAATAAAATAAAATGTTAAAAAATAGTTCTAGTTTGCTAATAATTATCATTCTGGCTTTATTTAAGTATCATAATTTGTTATTAAAGATAAGCGTACTCAAGCTGTAATTATATAAGCACAGAGACCATAATATTAAGCTTATCTTATCCAGAACAGGAAATAGATGTTGAATTGGATGGCGAGATTTAAAATTCTAAAGAAAATATTGGGTATGGTTTATGGGTGAAATATTAGCCTTTCATCCCAATTTTAGATATAGGTATCGTATAATTATAATATATTTCATCAGGTTTATCAGGAATAAATCCAGCACCATCAGGGCAGTTCATATACCTACTTTAATAAAAAGAAACAAATTTCGTTTTGTTAACTTTTTATATTTCAATTTCTGATTAAACATAAACCATTACTCATAATGTGTTTTATTCATTTAAAGAAACAAGTGGCACTTTAGTATTTAATTTTGAATACGAAAAATATGAAGGATAATGGACCTTGTTTTATTTTTATATTAATCTCTTATCGGAATCAACAATTATAGGATTTTATTCATCAGAATAGACAATCAAAATGAAAACGTAGATAGTAAATGATATACCTGTTCTAGTTAAAGAGATAAGGCATTAAATAGGAGGGAAATACGAGATAACAAATTATTTGGGAGAAAATTTAAAATTAACTTAATTTATTGGAAGATTGTCAACAGTTTTCAGTTAGGGGTCAGTAAATTTATTTTAAGATTTGGAGACATTTTTATTAGATTGTGCAATTTAATCTGAATGTTAAGGATCTACTTATACATTATCAAGTAGCAATTAAGCCTTTTTTGGTTAGAGTTATTTATTTGATACAACAAATGTATTTGAATATCCAATTTATGTAATAAAAGGTTGGTTAAAATTATAACTATCCGAGAAGTCTCCCCTTGATACAGTGATATTTAGAGTGTCAATAAATAAAGACTTCTAAGATGACATGGAGCTTGGAGATAAAGATATATATTTGAAATATCATCAGAATACCATTCCAGAGTCAAATGGATTTTCAATAACCACCTATTCATACAATTTTCCAACTTCAAACAAGTACACAAGTACTGATATTGATGTCATAAGTGATTTCGGAGCAGAATATTTGGAGTTACTTATTAATTGGCATTATATTTAATATGAAATTGGAACAAATAATAACCAAGGATAACCAATTTTTTAGATATATTTTCCATCATTAATTGTTAAGTAGAAAATTTTCTTATGGAGCAACTAAATCAAACACTTCACAGGGACAATAATGTATTATTATATTGGAGGCGATAAATAAAGTTAAAATTATTTGAAAGGATATATAAGTGATATGGAATTAATATCTTATTGCAAAACTCCTATTATTACACTATCCCCTAACTGTCATTATTCATGCCTCACTTGTGATGGCCCTAATAGTAATAGCTGTTTATCTTGTCCTTTAAATAGCCTAAGACAATAATCTGTAACCTAAAAGACATGCACTTGCTTATAGAAATATATTGATATTGAAAATGAACCAATTTGTAAACCAGTGTCAGAAGTTTTTCCATAAATAACAGAAGTGGAAATAGAGTTATAATGTGATTCTCAAGGTTATGATGTTTGTACTGACGAGAAAAGAGAATGCTCATTTGGTTATTTCTTGAATGAAGGGTATTGCTTATAATGGTATCATATTAATAATATATAGTCCTGGATATTCATCATTAAATACCAAAAGTAGGATTTTATGTTCAAATTGTATGCTTTAACCGAAAGAATTTGAATGGTAATTGACATGCTATCAAGATACAATCACATATATGTATAATAAAGATTTCTCTTATTAAACAATCAAAAGATAGGATAGGGATATAGAATATTATGAAGTAATTAAAAATGGAAATGCAGAATAAGAATTATTTTTAAAAAAGGGATTTATTGACTATAGTTCTTGCAAAGAAGGATATTTTCTCAGAGATAATAAATGTGTCTCCTGTATAAAAGGATGCCAAACTTGCTAAAATGAATTGATTTGCGAGATTTGCTATACGGGTTATGTTTTAACGAAAGATTTTTCATGTGCATAATGTTTAGGATGTACAGACTGTATTATAAATTCGGAAAAAGTTTTATGCATAACATGTGCAACTGGAGCATATCTTTCGAATGGGGCTTGCATTCCTTGTGGATAGAACTGTTCGAGTTGTAATTCAAATGGTAGTTGTCTATACTGTGATGATCCTTCTAAGTATTTTTAAACATTTGATGGTCATAATTGCTAACCTTGCAGTATAAAAAACTGTATTTATTGCTATTAATACTATATCAAAGATGGGATTACTCATACTACTCTTGATATAAATTATGAAATTCTTGAATCAAGTTAAGAGTAATTTTATATTGGATGCGCTCTCTGTCAAGTTAATCTTTATTATAATTAATTAACAATGACTTGTTCAGAAAAACCTCTTAATTCTTCAACAATTGATGATTGCACTTTTGGACTCATTATCAATTCTTTTGATGATACTGAATGCTTGATTAGTACAACAAGTAAAACTTCTACTTAAAATACAGATTGCTTATCAATACCAAACTGTTAACAATGTATTAAAAAATACACCAAAACCATTACTTTTTGTTTAACTTGTGTAGATGGATATTATTCATCAATATTAACTGGTTTATGTATAAAATGTGAATCTAATTGTAAGACTTGCGTTTAATAGAGTTAACCTTAGCAAGATTATTGGAAATGGAATATAAAGGCTTTTTATAAATATGTTTTTAATTCAGATAATTCACACCCTTTTGAGATTTATGCAGTAGACACTTTCCAAAATGATTTTGAAGTAATTTGTACATCCTGTCCTTTAGGGTATATTTTAGAAGAACATAAGTGCATAAAAAATTGTGATTTATAATGCACGAAATGCCAGGTAATAAATGGGGTTGCGACCTGTGTATAATGTTAAGAAACTCTATAGGGATTTTTAAAGAGTTAAGATTCAAATGGAAAATGTTTGACTTGTCCAAGTAATTGTCGAGCATGTTTAGAAAGGACTGATGATGAAATTATTGAATTGAATCCGTATTTCATTCTCTCTCCAACAAACCTTAAATATACAAGAATTTGTTATGAAAATTTCAATTTAGAACCTTCTGATTTTGGGGGTAAATACTTTAATTATCAATAATTAAAAACTATTACTTTTTGTGAAAAATATAATAAATGCTACTATCAAGTTATTTTGGTATAAAACATCTATTGTAATTAAAACCATTTTAAATAAATTTTAGATAGTTTATCAGGATAAGCTTTATAGGATTTTAAAATGAAAAATCTTTATATATCTGATCTCTTTTTAGAGGGTTATTTACCTAATATAGAAACATCAGGATTATTTTAGTATTTAAATGAGAAAGTTATAAGGGAAGTAATTTTGGAATATACACTAATTTAAGATTAGGGAAAGGCTTGTAACATTCCATCAGAATCACTACTATTTTCAAAAATTCAATAAAATGTCTTTACTGTTTTAACTGTTAATCTAACTTTGATTGGATAGTCATACCCAACCACTCTAATTATAAAGGATTAATTAACTTTGAGCAACTTTACAACTATTTCTTTTAAAAATATATAATTTGATTTGATTGTTTCAAGCTGGGATTAAAAGTCGACAAGTATTCGGTTAGAAAATACAAAAAACTTAGTAATTCATGATTGTGATTTTACTACAAGAAATCCTAAACGCGAAATACTATTTAAAATTATTGCTATCTATGATTAACCCTATTCTTTGAGTCTCATTAATTTAACTTTTTAAAATGTAAAATTTAGAAATTCTTAAATATTTCATTTAAAATCATTTAGTAGATTGAACGTTTAGAATTTAAAAATAATCAATTCATATTTTAGTGCATCATCATTATTTGTTTTAAATGAAGATTTTTATTTTAACTTATCGTTGAAATCTACAAACATCTTTAATACAACTTTTGATGGTGGGTTTTTGATATATTATAAGGCAGATGGAGTCATTTCTTTTGAGAATTTATAGATCCAAGAAATTAAACTATAGACAGTAAACATTATAAAGGACTCTTCATTATTTTTTATTAAAAGTGCAAAAGCACTTAAACTTCAAGGTTTAATTATGTTAGACACTATTATTTCAGAAAGCTCATATTTTTTCATTTCGAATACTTTTGAATTACAGGATTTATATATAAACAATATAAATATTTCCAATAGCAGATTATTTAGTAATGATTTAGATTAAGCAAAATATGATAGTGATGTTTCAATTATTAATTGCACAATTGAAAATGTTTATTATGATAACGAGTAAGCTATCATACAATTAATCTCACTAGAAAAGACGTTTGCACTAAATGTTTCTATAAAATAATTTAAATTAATAAAAAGTCTAATTACAGTAAAAGTTCAATTTAATTATATATATTACTATTAATCTATTATTTATTTAGAATGCTAAACTTGTGAATTAGAGGATGTGGAAATTCAAAGAGGGCATGGTCTACCAGAAATAGCAATTTTAAAGTCTTAGAGTTTATTAATAAATAATATAAAATTCACATAAATAACTTTATTTCGATCTAAAACACTTCATTAATCAGTTGATTGCATGCTCAATTATGCATATGAGGACATGTATTTTTATTTATACATAGGGTTTTATCATACTATTACAATCAATAATTTAGAATTATCCAATTCTATTACTTATAACAACCCTTTTATAATTATTGAAGCTTATAACTTGAGAGAAAAAATACAAAATGAATATATAAATATCCAAAATAGTAAATTAGAATCAAATATGCTAATTATAACAAAAAGAAACACATTTTCTTCGCTAATATCATTAATTTCTGAATAAAATTGCAAAATTAGTATTGACAACGTATTATTTAATAACAATCATTTAAATTAATACGTTTAAGATTTATCAAGATAATCGGCAACTACTTTATTACTCTAGTTATAATAAGGTGATGTTTAAATATCTAAAACAATTTTTAAATAAAATATTGTCACAAATTCAACTGATCCAATATTATATATAAAATCAATCAATGTTTTATTCCATTAAAATCAATTTACAAACAACAATATTTTAGAACTTTAGATTTTAGTTAAGAATTTGTTATTATTTGAAGATTAAAAATAATATAATGATGGAATGAGCTTAATGCAAGTATTTCCAATTAATTCAAAAGGTGGTAATGGTTTGATAATTGCAAATATCATCACAATAGACAAGACATCAGTCAATAATTCTTTTTCATAACATGGAGGTGGGTTTTATATGATAGCTTAGGTTACAGGGACAATCTATATTTAAAATTCAATCTTTTAAAATACTTTCACCAGTTTATCAAGTTCTTCATTTTCAACAGGAGGTTGCCTATACATAGATGCCGAATTATCAGCTTTAGATCTTCAAATACATTCAACAACGATAGAAAACTCATTTAGCAAAATATAAGGTGGCGGCATCTATATCAAACCTTCATTATAATAAAACTATGTAAAACTACAAAATTTAACAATAATAAACTGCTTTTCCATCTAATATGGTTTCTTCTCATACTTATTATCAAGTCTTTAGAACATAAATTCCAAAGTTTAATTTAGTGGAACACAATTCATAGTGACAAAAACAGTTTTCATGAAATTTTTATCTCTTTTAGAATCACCTACAAATGATGATATAGATTTTATACGAAATAACAATCCTTTGATTAAAGTTAAATTTGGATCTGTGTTAATAGAAAATTGCAGTTTTATTTCAACCCATATTTAATTTTTGATAGATATTGAATTTGCAACCAATATCTTGATCTAAGATATTTTGATAATTAATTCAACAATCTTATTTTCTCCTTTGATTAGATTAAGTTTAAGATAATGTAATTAATTATAAATATTAATTAGAGTTGAATGGAAATATTTTGTTAATAAATATAAATGCAAAATATGTTTAATAGCATACTAATTATTCAGATTCAGCTTGCTTAAATTCAACTTATTAATCATACTAATCTTTAACATGTTCAAGGGGTATCCAATAAGAAAACCCGATTTTAAATGATTATAATACATCTCTTAAATAGGAATATTAATAACTTTGTAATTAAAAAGAAGTTTATTAAGATGCAAATTATAGTTTTAGTTTGTTTGAGATTGATAACTTGAATAAAAATCATAGTTTTGAGGTTAAAGGATTAAATTTGGAGTCTATTACATGTGAGTCTTGTGAATATGGCATCTTCAGAATAAAAGGTATAATTTAATCATAAATCGAAAACATTCTTTTTGATAAGATAAAAATTTTCAACAGTTAATGTGGATAAACAGGATGCTTATCATTAATAGAATCTGAAGAAGAATCCTTTCTAAGAAGCGATTTTCTCTCATCTAATAGGAGTAGAATACTTCAGAAACTTGATTACACAAATTTAATATATAAGTTAGAATATTAAGCGAGAATAATTAATAGTAAATTTATAAATAATAATGCAATATATGGAGGATCATTGTTGATTGTTTAAACAAAAACAATTATTCATAATTGTTTATTTTAAAATAATAAAGCTGAAATAGGAGGGGCAATTTATTATCATTCAAATGAATTTTCAATGATCATATTAAATAGTTAAATAATTGATAATGAGGCAAAAATTGCTGGAGGATTGTATTTAAATAAATAGTAACTTCAGGAAACAAAGTAATTAGATTTATTTTTATCTGATAATAATTCAACTCTATTTGGATCAGATATTTTAGAGAATCCAAGATCTTTAACCATATCTATAGATGGAGGGCAGACCTTTTTAAATAAAATATAAGTAAAATAAAGCTCTACTATAATTATTGAGAAAATAGTAGTCACTGCCTATAAGATATTGGGATTATCTAAGAGAGTAAAATATTTAACATTTCCTTCTGGTAGATAAATATATTCTTACGAATTCTTTGATTTATTTAAATCAGAGTATGTTCCTTATAATCTATCATTTCGAATTATAGCACTTAATAAATATAACACTCAAGAGAAAAAATTGGTAGGAACTACATGCACTCTGACTCCCACAATAATGAATACTACTAGTGATGAAGCAGTAAAAGGATTAATCGGAACTTTATCCTACAGTAATGTGAAATTTAATGATAGCACTGGTGATTACAATTTAGATGATTTAATCATATACTTCAATCCAACATATGAGGACGAAATCGTCTTAAGATTAAATATTTAATGTAAGATTATATAAATCCCATAATATGAAGTTACTCCTCCTTATTTAATTAAAAATTATATAACAAATTATAATTTATTAGTAGATATCAAGACTTTCTAATGTTAATTGGGTGAATTCTTCAATGGAACTACTGGAGGATGTATATTGTGTGATGTAATCTAAAATCAATACTCTGTATAATGGAACGCTTAGAGTTGCAGTTTTAAAGATGACGTAAAAATAAAATCAATAAAATCTTCCATGATTGAATTAAGATAAAGTTATTGGAGGGCATATTATTTTAGTGAAACAATAGAATATTGTTACCATCTGATTGAAAATTGCGAAGGAGGATGGTTACCAGGAGATCAATCTTGTATAATAGGACATATAGGGGCTTTGTGTGAGTAATGTGATTTATATAATACTCGAGGAGATGGATCTTATTCTGTAAGTTCTAAATATTCATGTGGAAGTTGTGAAGAAATTTCTAGAAATTTATTAACTATAGTGTTCATCAGTATTTGGACCCTTATTTCAATTTTGATGTCTGTAAGCAGTACTGTATAGATGATTGAAGAATTTATTATCGGAATTCGATTAAAAGCACTAGGAGTTGCTGTCGTTTTCAAATAAATTTCTACTGCTATATTAATTAAGATACTCACAAATTATTTGTAAATCATTTCAACAATTGGTACATTCTAATTATAAGTGCCTTCAGAAGTAGCATCAGTAGTTAATAGTGCTGGTAATCCAATTGAATCAATGGCGTATTCTCTTGATTGCTACTTAATATCCGTTTCAGATATTACAATCATATACTTTAGAATTATCTGGAGTCTAATGATGGCATCTTCATATCTCACAGTGTTTTTCGCTTTGGGTGGAATAGCAGTGATGGTTAAATTTATTAAATTCAAGTTTTCCTATATTGCTACTTCTTTTATTTACGTTTTTATCTACTTACAACCAAATTTAATTGGAAGTTTAATTTCTTTAATATCCTACAGAGTAATTTCAGATGAATATTGGATTTAAGGTAACGTCTCGTATCGTTATGCTACTCTTCAGCATGTTAAATGGTTATACGGATTTTGTATACCGTTATTGTTTTTCTTTGGAGCAATAGTGCCTGCTTACTTATGGTATGGAATTAGAAAAAATTTACATCACTTAGATCTTACTAAAGTGAGATAAATTTGGGGCTACCTTTATAATGAATATAAATCATATGCTTATTATTGGGAAACCATCAAAATCCTTCAAAAAGAATTAATCATAATTGTATTAGCTTATTATGAGGATCACATTCCGATTAAAGCATCCCTTGTATTTTTAATACTATTTGGATATAGCTTTCTAGCCACTGCTTAAAAACCTTATATGTCTGGCGATCTTAACTACTTAGACTCTAAATCTACTGTTGTTTGTGCAGTTTCAATAATATTGAGCAGTTCTATTTACACAGCCTAATAATCAAATTTATAAGAAATCTTTTGGCCATTCTATATAATTATTGGAATTTTAAATGGATTATTCATAGCATAAATGCTTCTTAAAATATCATTTGCTTATTTTGTATAATTGAGTGATCAAATTGATAAGGTAAAGGATTTTATTAAAGCTCGTTTCCCTTATTTAATCATTAGGTACCCCTTTTTAGCTTAGCTATTAGAAAGTAGGAAGAAAAAATAGGATAAGATAAGAAATAGATTTAGTAAATTAAGAACTTATCTAATAACTTAAGCTAAAAAGAGATTAGATTTAAAAAAGGAATTATTTAGTTTTTAAACCCCAATGTTAAACAGTATATCTAAATCCTGGAAAAGTGATTAAAATTAATTTAATCAATATAATTGATGAATTATTTTGATAAATAATTATTAATATTTTGCATATTCATTTGATTAAGTAATATATAATAAAATTGTTCCAGGCGATGGATATTTTTGGTATATTAATCAGATCAAAAAAAGATAAAAGATTATATAAATATAGTGATTTTTGTGAAAATTTACATGAAATGTTGAATGCATCTTAATTTAATTTAGGTGCATAATAATTTTACTTTCTTGTCTTTTATCTAACTTTAACTTAAAATTATAATAAATGCAAGGCAAACATTGAAAACAGAGTCACCTTCTACTTGATTTTTGAATTTAAGGTTATGAGTCCTGTTTTAAATTCGTTTGAATAAAATATAGAAATTTAACTTCTTTTTAAATATTTCACATCAAAAGACAAGTTACATTCATTTATTTTATAAATTTATAAAAATCCATCCCAACATTATCTTTTATTTAAAAAATCTTTAGATTAATCAATCATTTAGTTATAATTAATATAGTTTAATAGAGAACTAAATGACCTCACTAATAATTGGAGAGTAAATTTATACAAAAATAGCCTTAATAATAAAAATATTATTCACATGTATCCATACTTCATTTATTCTTAAATTTTCTAATAGCGCGATGATAGTTTAAATATATTACAAATATGATACTCTCTAACTTATCAAATATATAGATTATAAAAGATAAATTCCTTATGAGAATACTATGGATTTAAGAGCTTAAACATAATGAAAACAACATCATTGTACAGATCAAAATTGAATAGATAAGAACTTAACAAAGTAAAAGAATACCTAAATAATATTCCCAACTTAGATTATGTGAACTCTTATGCTTAAGCAGTAAAAGATGAAATTTGTTTATTAGCCACTGCTGTCATTTTTATTAATAATCAATGTTTTGATTTTAATTTTTATTTGTAAGGATAACAGAATCTTCTTCTAAGAAGGGAAAGCTTTGTTTTAAAATTTTTCTGATTTTTAACTCATATGTTTTTATTAATCTTAATCTTTCAATCATTCAATAATTCTATTAACAATTATTCTTACTGCATGATTAGGTGCAAGTTATGCTATTTTATAGTAAAGGATTGCTTCAATAAATAAAGTTAAGGCAACAAAAGTATAATATAAATATGAAGCTTCCTTACTCGTACCATTTATACATAGATATTATTTTGTTAATTATGTTGAATCTCTTAATAGAAATTGATATGTAAAGAGATAAGGACCAATTAAAGTTATTTCAAATATAAAATGTTTTTGATAACAATGATTAAAAAGTATAACTTTTATTTGGATATATAACTATTCAATTATTTTACTTCATCATTAAAGAAGTATTTTTTTGTGTGTTTCACAAAGAAGTCAAAAAATTATAGAATAGGTTTTTAAAAAATTTACTAACTGGCCCAGTTGTAGGATAATTGTAAAATACTTCTCTTAAGGAATAGCCAACATTCAAGAAATTATCAAAGCTATATATCTTATGATAGAGTATTCAAAATAAAATGTGTCATAAAATATTGAATATATACCCTTATTGACTTATAAACTTAAAGATTTATCAATACGAATTTTAGATGGAGAGATGATTCTAATCAAAGAAATAATATCTCTTTCATCATAACCTTATTTTAACATTTCATCTATCAATTCATTATTAAATCATATTTAATTCAAATCTAATCTATGCTTGTACATATGTGTTTAATATTATGCCGTAGTTTCCAAACTTAAAATTAATTAATCTATTCTATTTTAGCAAACTCAGTTTAAATAATCTTATTTTTAAAGATTTTACATTCATTTTATTTAAAATACTCGAAAGTTTATTATTAAAATATCAAATTATACAGATAAATTAGTCTATGGGTTTTTGAATAACCAAGTGCTATCTATGTTATTAATTTTTTGGTTTAATAAATATGTATTAATGGTTTGAATTATTCAGAAAACATTATTAATTTAATTGATTTATATTTTATTCTCATTAATCAAGGTTTCAATTGTTAATTTTAGCAAAATATCTTTTAGTAAATTCATATCTTATTTGGAAAGTTGATATGGTTAAAATTTAGAAATAATTAACTCATTTTTAATTCAAGATTTAAGCGCCAATGTTTTCTAATACAAGGTAATAAAATTGCAAAGACTTAGCAAGAAAATCAAGGGATAACTAATAATTAATACCTTCATTAAGTAGATAAATAGAACAATAATCATAAAAATAGAATATTTTTTAAATATTACAAGAAATTTAAATAATTATCTAATTATATTTATAAATTTATATTAACTTTTATTCAATTTTTAGTGAATTCATCTTATTCAATCGGATCAAAAAATAATTTTTTGATATCTAACCTACTTGATTTTACACTTTGAATTCTTGAACTATAAGAACTCGAATAGTAACCTGTCATAAGTTGTTTAGAGTTTCTTAGTTAGAGTTTTGAGAAATAAATTAAATGATTCTTTAATATAATAATATTCTTCTTCAATTTCTATTCCCTTTGTTTTTATTTTTCTAACATTTTCTTTAATATTTTTGTCAAAAAGAAATTCGATACTTTCTAATTTAGAAGGAAATGTAATTTATTCAAAAGGAAGAATTTATATTTTTTCTCGTAACTTCTTAAAATCCCAAAAATAAATGGGTAACAAAGTTTAATGAAACATCCTACAATAAAAATTTGAAGAATAATAAAAAGGAACTCATAAATATTTTATTCACAAATGTATTTGGTTGTAGCTAAAAATATTGAAATTGAACAAATTTGACTACTATATAAATCTAAAGTATTATATTTTTAAATAATAAATGGTTAAAGAAATGTAGCCAAAATTTGATATACTAATAAGCACAATCCAATTAATGATGCTTTTAAAACAATATCAGTTTCAAAATTCGTCATTATAACTATTATAATTGTTTTCTTGAATAATTTGATGAGTTCCCAATAATATTTTTAATATTTGTATTCATTTAATAAATAACAAAAATGCTTTCTAAGCTAAATTTTTTCTAAGCGAGATTAATTGACTATCAAAAGAATAAATATCAAGATAGGAATCAACCCACCTATAAGAAACAATCCAGGAATGATAAAAGAATATATCCACAACTAATGATCTTAAGATCCATATGTCTAGGATACATCACCCTAAATGTAATAGTTATTGGATACTTTTCGTTTGGAAATCAATGATGAAAATCTATCAATTGTAATTAATATTATACATCCTTATTAATCCTGCATAATTAAAAATATATAAGTATAGTGCAGTGTTTGAAAGGAGGCTGATATCATATTTCTGTTTATTCATTAATGAATACAATATTGATCCAGATGTTGTGAAAATAAAGAGGATAATTATAATGATTAACATTGTCAATATTTTCAAATAAACAATAGGGATTTATTCAATAGAAGATATTTAGCAATCAAAATCTGTTGCAATAAAATAAGAGGTATTACTAGTTTAATCAATAAAAAGTAGAGAAAAAGAAAATCTAATATTAAATGTAAAAATGACACTAAAAATCCATATATAATTTATCAACATTTTTAATTAGATGCTCTCTTGATCTAAAATTTATTTAATTTGTTTACCTTAATTTAGTTTAAATAGTATTTTACTAAATTTTTAAGCAATTATTAGTGATTTATATAATGAGTTAGATCTAGAGATACTTCTTAATGACATTGATATAGATATTAACGTCCTATAATTATTTGAAATATTATACCAAAGACAGCCTATTAAAAATGGTAATATATTTCTCCATTAAAATTAACATTTTATACAATATTAATCCCATTAGTTTTTAAAATAATTTCCATGACCCCTAATATTATATATATCACATTCTTCGCATAAGGCTCCTATATGGCCTAAACTACATGTATAATGCGATACCTACCATCCACCATTACAAAATAAAGGATTCTTGAAACAAGGTTCCACAAGATCAGAAAAATTATTAGGTCTCCAAAATCCTGGAAGCAATTATATCATATTTGAGGTTATATCAGAGTATTTATCTTTATTAAAAATAGAGCATTTTGTTGCATTATATGTTACAGAATAATACCCTCGTTTTGATTAACAAATTTGGCATCCATTATCAACATAAAATTCTCCCAATTAACATTTTAGGGTCTTTGCATTAAGTATATATTTCAATTTTTATGTCGACTCTTTTATTTAGCAGCTTATTTCAATCTATAAATGGCTGTAATTTTATTAATATGGATCCAAACTAAAAGATAATGACCCAAAATCAAAAGAATTTTTTTCATTGTTAAAAAATAAAATTTAATTAACTTCTTCTACTTATTCTTATTGATCTTTTTCTATTATCTTTCTTTTTACTTCACAAGATGAATTAAATAAATTATCCATTTTTTCATTTCTGCTATTTTTAAAAACCAAGCTAATATCTTCAATAAAAGGTTTAAAATTAGAACTATGTATATCAAAAATCTTAAAATTTTTCAATACCTAATTGCTTGGGATCAATAAATCTTTAGTAGAGATCTAGTTTCCTTATTCTGTCATTCTGTATCTTTTTAAATCTAACTTATTTATCCATTCATTATTAAAAAGAACAGGTTTAGAAGGGTTTTCCTTTTAATTAATAACAAAAGTTAGATGATTTGGTATTTCTTTAATATTATTCCCATATTCTTCAGCAGTATTAAACCATAATAATGATTCAAAAAAATTATTATTATTTAGATTAAAATCCGCATCTAAATATATTCCTCCTCCTATTCTAGCTGTATTTCTAATTATAATCGCTTTATTAATATTAATGCCAGAAGATTATAATTATATATGTAAACCTCCTCCAAAAGATTTTGCTTTATTGTTCATTATTGTACACTAATTGATTTATATATTTGTTCTTTGAACAGTGATAGCGACACCTTGACTTCCATTATTAAAATGGAAATTAGAATTTTAAATTTTGATTTTTGATTTAAGATTGATTTATTGGGTAAAAAGTAAACATCCAAAGTGTTGGATAGAATTATAGAAACAATTGAAATTCTAAAATTTAATATATTTAAAATCTGAAATTTCAATAAAAAAGAGACCCTTATTGCATTATAAGCAATAATTGTGTTCTAAAATAATATCTTTAAAATAATAACCATTTTAATTAGAAATACTTTTAAAATATACTAGAGAACTATCTAAATAATTATTTTCTTGAAGAGAATTAACTATTGTATAAAAATAATCCCTCTAATTATTTTCAGAACATTGTAACACCATTGTACATCCTTGAATATTATAAATATTTGATTAATAATCTAAATAAGATTTTTCATCATTTTTGTAAAGCTTAGTAAATTTTATATGTAAATGTTCTATTTAAATTATAGATTTAGTCTATTAGATTTATGTTATTTAAATTAAATTGAGTGAATGTAACATTTAGATTTTATCTATTATGATATTATTAAGCTATAATTTAGGTAAATTTGTAAATTAAAAAATAGAATTAATAACAATTCCTTCTATAAAAAAATTTTGTATATATATTTTGCAATTTTGAAAAGATATCAAAGAATTCTAATTATTGATAATATCTGTAATTTCTTAGGTTATTAAATCTCGAATTTTTAAGAAATAAATCAACCATATATTTTAATTTTAAAGAACTCTCATATCTTCTATAATTATTATATTCTATTTAGGTTAAGCTGATGAGAATTAAACATTAATTATTTAATTGAGCAAAGAAATACAATTTACAATTTAAGTATTTTTAAGTAAAATTATGTTTAGTGTTTTTGAAGGATTAATAGTAAATATGGAAGGAGCCAATCTATTGAAAATATTATTAAAAAATGCATTTACTACTTTTAAATTCAATTAACTATTTGATGATTAAATACTAATGCATCCTGAACCTTTATCAATCGATAATAAATTATTCTCTATTTAATCAATAGTAATATTTATAAAATTTATTAAGCCTTCTTCAGTAGTTGTGATATCAAAAATTGAACTTTACAAGGCAAGAATTTGTGAAAATGTACAACCCATACAAGACATTCTTTGAACTGAAAATTATCCTGCTCCTCCAATATTCTGTATCTATAAAACTTAGAAAATAATTTCATTTAGATTTTATTAATTTAGACTCTCATTAAATTACAGTTCATAATACTTAGTCCATAATTATTAAGATAGAAAATTGTGGTTATTTGTAGTATAATTGAAAAGATTGATATCAGCTGATATTATTGCAATGAAGGCATTAGAAGAATTAGTGAATGCATTATTTTTACAAAGCAAATTTACAACTTTTAATTGACTTAATGGTGATGAGATGTACAATAGACTAGCTGTTTTACTAATTGGAGTGTTAGTATAAGAATGGAAAAAATTTTCTTCATATAAAATATTTTAAAATAAAATATTTGTAATTCTATCTGATTCTAGAATTAATAAAGAAATCAGATTAATTAAAGTTGATTAAATCAGGATATTTTTAGCAAATGTAACATTTATTATCTCAATCTGACGAGTAACTAATGTTAAATTTTGTTAACTTGGATTAATTTAGATTATAGGTACATCAATACTCAGAATATTAAAGACTTGTATATTTGCAATATTAAGAATTGTAAATCCAAAAATATATAGTAGTTTATTTGTTTTATTATTTAATAAACAACTTAATGATAAAGGAATTTTAAAATCTTGTATGGAGTATTAATATGTGATATTTGTAATTGATATATGAGTATTTTCAGACAAGTAAAATATCACTAAATCATGATTATCAACAATTAAAAAATTTGAAATTTGAATTTATTAACTACTAATGCAAAAGAGTTATATAGTTTCATTTTAGTTAGAATACTTGTAATTTTCTATTATTCTAAAATTTTCAAAGTTTATGATCAGTGAGTTTCTTGAAAATATCAAAATTATATTAGAAGTCTAAAAATGATTTTTATTTACATTAAAATCACGAATATCACAGTTAGCTAGATTTTTCAAAAATATTTGAGTAATGGAAAAAAAATAGGAAAATAAGAATATATTTTTATAAATGTTTATCTAAGTCATTAAAATATTATGCCTGATAGATATAATAACTGAGCCTTCTAAAAAGTTTAAATAAAATTGGAAAGTATGAAGCTTTATTTCTATTTAATTCGTACAGTTTATTAAATATGATAAAGAGAAATTATTATTTTATATAATTGCGTTAAATAAATTTAGATATTTTTATTTTTCGGAATAACTGATAAAAAAACTAAAAATTGATGAGTTTCTTAAGATTGATTAATCTAAAATAAAGTATTTTAAAGATATAATAGATTCAATTTTAGATAATGTAAATAATGCTGATTCTATAAATGTACAATTTTTAATTTATAAATTTGTTATTTAAATTGTTCCCTCAACTTAAAATGATTAAAAATTAAATAATGAAGAATTGATAAAGGTAGTATTTTATATGGTAACATTATTTAAAATGATATTTCCAAAAGCTTCTGCTATAAATAAAGATTTCATATTCTTTAATAAACTTTAACTAATAGTAAAATTGGTAAGTATCAAATTTATTTTATACTTACCATTTTAGAATATAAAGTATTAGTCTGAATCAATCACAAAACCTATATTGCTAATTTCGATTTGATCAAAATTCTGGAATGAATTATTGGTAAATAAAAAAATTTATAAGAATTATTAAGATTAAAATATAAAGTCCACTCTCTTTAAAGTAAATACTTTTTGCTTTAATTGAGTCGTAAAATTTAATGGGATAAATAATAAACATGTCTATTAAAATATCTAAAGAGTTAGATTTACTGTTAAAGCAGCTATTCCAATTTAATTACAATATTAAGTATTTATCCTTGATTCATAAAAACTATTGAGTGTCGTAAAATTACATGTTATATATGAAACGTCAAAAATGAATTTATCTTGACAATCTTAATTGAAGCAGTACCTCGCAATTTTAGAATAATGATCATAATAAATTTAAGGATCCTTATATGGTTTTATACATTTCATAGTATAAATTTCATTTTCTTCAGTAACAATGAAATTTGGAAAATTAAGCTATTTATTATTTATTGATATTCTTACTTTTATATCTTCATTAGAACGAGTTTCACAAACTTCACACAATGGATGACATAAGAAACACTTTTTGCTTTTCTCTGTTATAATATACTTTTTATAATAATTTAATGGACATAATCTGCAATAAGAACCTGTCTAATTACATTAAATGCATTCAGGATCACAAATCTATTATATAGCATTTTATGGATTTAAAAACATTTTGTAAACACTCTATTTCATTTAGGGTACAAATTAAAGAATAAAACTTTAAATTTTATTTGTCTAATTTTAAATTTAGTATTTCTCTATATTAAATTCTTCATTTTAATAACATTGGTTATTTTCAATAATAAAATTATCTTAACACACTACGCATTTGATTTATTTTTCAATATTTAAAGTGCATATATTACAGTATTCAATATATTTATAACAATTAGATATCTCTGGTGAAATAGAAAAGTCATCATAAATTGATGAAACACATTACTCCTAACTCTATAAATTTATAAAAGATCGTTAACAATATTCAATTTCAGGAATTTATTTTAAGCATATCCCTAAAGTAAAATCGAATATGTAGTTTTCTTCACAAAGGGCACAACCTATTTTGACTTTTTATAGCAATCTTAAACTAAATTCAGTGACTTTCACCAATGAGCATAAATCTAAATCATTTAATGAGTATTCAAAACAATATATACAATTTTTGATTTCACAAATTTTACATTAATTCTCAAAGGAATAATATAATGGTGGTAAACAAATGAGTTCAGCTTTCTAATTAATTTTAGTTTACAATATACATTAACCATCTATTAATTTATAATAACTTAAACATCTTTTACATTCGAAATTAATTAGAGTCAACAAACAAATTTAACAATTTTAAAGTAAGCATTCATAACAAATGAATTAATCAGCTTCTGCAAAAATCTTTTATTAACAAAATTTTAGAAATTAGATTGAGGCTAATTGAAATTCTTTAAAAATTCCATTTATATTTGGCAAGTTTAATTCACTAAATTATGAATGAGTGTTATGGATAGAATTGATTTAGATCCCATCATAATAATATTGGATTTAAATAAATGATACAGATGCTTCTTCAATAGTGATATTAGGTTTAATGACATAAGCTTTTTAACAAGTAGGATACTAAAACCACGACTTTGGTTTGTTCAAACATTCAAAACAACCAATAAATGATTCCTTTATGATTGATGGACTAAATATTAATAAAAATGATACCATTTTATACAATCTCCGTCAATCTCAAAATATCCGTATTTACAATTCTAATTTATATCTGGATCTTATTCATTGATTAATCTTAGATTTGATTATTTGAATGTTTAGCATTGATTTTAATTATCTATTGAATTAAATGGACAAATGCAAACTTTATATTCAGGGAGATATATTCTTTAAGATTCTATTGAACAAGATAAACAATCCTAATTGGATGGGCCATCACATTCTAAACAACTATAATGACAAATTAATTATGAAAGTTTTTTAAAACAATTATAAAACTCTAAATTTCTCAATTAGATATTTAAATAATTGTTTTTAGTTTATAAACAATTTCCATATTAGACTTTAAATTAGCAATTCTAAAATTAATATACTTCAAAATTAGCATCATAATTAAAAGTGTTTTTCTCTTCATAAAATAATATCTTCACATTTATTTATTTTTTTTATAATTCAATCTTCAGATAATGCCAGAGATTGATCTTATTTTAAATTAAGAATTTCTTCTATATTAAAAAAGAATTATTTGAAAAATCAATAGAGACATCTGGAAATGTATAATTATATGTTGTTATTTCTATTTCATTTTTTTCTGTGCCTATATGATAAAATAATTAGAATGGTGATAAATTATGATTTTAAAAGATGGGATCTAATAAATTTGGCGATACTTTGAATAGTTAATAAGTGAGTTGTTAAGATGGATTAACAATTTCTTTAACTTTAATCCATCCTGCTAAAATAAATGAATCGCAATTTATATTATCAGAAATAAATGTTTTAATATCTTAATTCTTAAAATCCATATCTCCAATCAAATATCTCACATTTTGTGAACAAAAACAATTCTAAATTGAATTATATATTTTATTTGCAGAAGTAATAAATGAAAAATCAAGTGGCAAACTTGTAATTAATAAGTCCTATAAAAAAATAGGACCAGGAAAATATGAAAATATTTGTCCCCTCTCTAAATCATGTATCTTTGAATTATGTACCATAAAGTAACCTCCAAAAGACAATATTTAAATTTTGTCTTTAAATGGATATTTCATGTATTTTATTGATTCAAATTATATTTCATTTCCTTTCATAATTATCAATTTAAATATATCTTATAATGGCCATGCTACAATTTATAAATAAAACCAAGTATTTTCATAATCAAATGGATTGATCATTATTTCAAATCTATTTTATTCATTTTAATTATTGATAAATAAAAGTGTTTTTGTTATTTTCTTTGATAAAGAGTCTAAACAATCATAATAAATCAGATTTAAATATTTAGATTCTTAATCAATTGAATTATGCAAATGATAGCAATGATTATCAAATAATCCAAACTTTCCTATCTAATTGATTTTACTAAGAGGATTATACTTTGACCAAATTCCATATGCTAAACAACTATTACTTGTATATTCATTCTCTTTCAATTCCAAAATCCTCCTTAAATATTGATTTGTAGGATTCAATTTAATAGTATCAAAACTACTCGCAATCTCCAGGCATAAAATCAAAAATAAATTTAAAAGTGTCATTAAATTAAAAAATATTAAATATAATTTATATTTTCCTTTTAAATTAATATTATATANATTCAATCTTCAGATAATGCCAGAGATTGATCTTATTTTAAATTAAGAATTTCTTCTATATTAAAAAAGAATTATTTGAAAAATCAATAGAGACATCTGGAAATGTATAATTATATGTTGTTATTTCTATTTCATTTTTTTCTGTGCCTATATGATAAAATAATTAGAATGGTGATAAATTATGATTTTAAAAGATGGGATCTAATAAATTTGGCGATACTTTGAATAGTTAATAAGTGAGTTGTTAAGATGGATTAACAATTTCTTTAACTTTAATCCATCCTGCTAAAATAAATGAATCGCAATTTATATTATCAGAAATAAATGTTTTAATATCTTAATTCTTAAAATCCATATCTCCAATCAAATATCTCACATTTTGTGAACAAAAACAATTCTAAATTGAATTATATATTTTATTTGCAGAAGTAATAAATGAAAAATCAAGTGGCAAACTTGTAATTAATAAGTCCTATAAAAAAATAGGACCAGGAAAATATGAAAATATTTGTCCCCTCTCTAAATCATGTATCTTTGAATTATGTACCATAAAGTAACCTCCAAAAGACAATATTTAAATTTTGTCTTTAAATGGATATTTCATGTATTTTATTGATTCAAATTATATTTCATTTCCTTTCATAATTATCAATTTAAATATATCTTATAATGGCCATGCTACAATTTATAAATAAAACCAAGTATTTTCATAATCAAATGGATTGATCATTATTTCAAATCTATTTTATTCATTTTAATTATTGATAAATAAAAGTGTTTTTGTTATTTTCTTTGATAAAGAGTCTAAACAATCATAATAAATCAGATTTAAATATTTAGATTCTTAATCAATTGAATTATGCAAATGATAGCAATGATTATCAAATAATCCAAACTTTCCTATCTAATTGATTTTACTAAGAGGATTATACTTTGACCAAATTCCATATGCTAAACAACTATTACTTGTATATTCATTCTCTTTCAATTCCAAAATCCTCCTTAAATATTGATTTGTAGGATTCAATTTAATAGTATCAAAACTACTCGCAATCTCCAGGCATAAAATCAAAAATAAATTTAAAAGTGTCATTAAATTAAAAAATATTAAATATAATTTATATTTTCCTTTTAAATTAATATTATATTCTTTTATTTATACATATTTACAATCAAAAAAATGAAAGTAATTATCATATTGTTCATATTTGAAATATTGCAAGAATCTGTTTTTTCGAACATTCTATAAAGGAATATAACTATTTTTAAACTATCTAATGCTAAAATAGTTCCATCTGGTTAGAAGCATAATGAATATACAGTATCCTTTGGTTTTATATTATCCTGTCTTAACATCCCGTAATTAGATTGATTAATCAGAATACTTGAAGCTAAAGTAGTTTCATCTAGTGAAAAGCATAAGAATAATACATAATGGGTAGACCACTAATTTCGGTTTTAATTATCACATCAGATAACTTATTAACCTATCACTTCTATATAATGCAAAAGTAGTTCCATCTGGTGTGAAACATACTAATAAGACACAATTATCATGACCATCCAATTTAGCTTTTTATTATCCTGACGATTAATGTTAAATTAACTTCTACAATTAATTAAATTTAACTCTAAGAGACAGCAATGGAAATGTACAAGATAATTTTACTGGGTATTGTTTTCAATAAGTTTTTTAAATATTAGATTACTGCGATTCGAAAAAGATGCTTGATTACACTAAATTGGTATGAAATTTTAAATCAATTTATAATGTTAATTATTGGTGAATAATTCATCTATTTTTTCTATAAGATTTTTTTTATAGAAGAAAAAGTTCAAATGCTGAA